CCTTTTACATTTTAAAGTGTGTGACACTACACCCCCAAAACCCCCCCCCCCACCAGTCGGGTTGGGGGAATTCTGGGATTTAAAATCCACACGTCTTAAAGTTGCAAAGGTTGAGAAACACTGCTATAACCACTACAGAATATACTCTGGGTTCCTGTCACAACACCCACGGTGGGGTAGGTTGGTCTCAAATATAGCAAGTGGTTCAAAAGTTACCCAGGGAAGCTCCATGGTGGCTGAGAATGAATTTGAACTTAAATATCTGGTCCTAGTCCTCTGTGACTATTACACCTTCATGGCTACTTTTGGTTTATTTTTTAATGTGCCACATACTTGCACATTGTAGCTCTTGCTTAGGGATGTTGTGTCACTGCACAATAGATAATGAGAAGGATAAAATGGGTTGTGTTTGCATTTTGTCACATCTACATATAATTTAGTTCTCATGCCTGCTCAAGGATAATCATGCAGAAAAAAAGCAATAATCTGAAATGAATGTGTAATTTAAAGAATGGCTGGAGATAAGTTTTAACGTTCATTCCAATTCTCCCCATCTACCATCTGTGTTGCCTTTTTAAAAAATATACTTTTATTTCCATAGTGAAAAACGTATCATTGTGTATCTCTTTGGAGATTTGACAGCAGTGACCTGTGGGCTAAAATAATGTAATTGGATGAATCAGCTCTGAAGTTCTGTAGACCAGAACTGTGTGTTTCTGGCAAACTGATACATGACACAGATAGAAATAGAGTCTTGCCTAATACATTTATTCTCAGTTAATTTAACAGAGATCTTCAAGGTACTGTGCATTGTGTACGCCTAGATGATCTGAGATCCAGTGAAATTAAACTGCTGATTAGTTTATTTCTCTTCAGAAGTCAATTTGCTGGTAAAATGTGTGGTTTGCCTTCCTTGGGACAGACAAAGCTGCATTAACTTACTAAATCTCGTTCTCCTAAAGCAGTGTTTCTCATCCTCAGCAGCTTTAAGATGTTTGGAGCTCAACTCCCAGAATTCCCCAGCCAGCATGGGGGATTCTGGGAGTTGAACCCCCTACATCTAAAAGTTGCTGAGGTTGAGAAACACTGTCCTAAAGAACTGGAAATGTTCTCAAAGAGTTGTTCCCTAGTTCTGTATTTCCCTGGGATGCCTCTTTAATAGATTGTCTCCTTTGCAGGTGCGGGTAAAACCAGACAACTCAGGGGTGGTGACCGATGGGGTCAAGCACTCAATGAACCCATTCTGTGAGATTGCTGTAGAGGAGGCTGTGCGTCTCAAGGAGAAAAAACTTGTCTCAGAAGTAGTTGCTGTCAGCTGTGGCCCACAGCAGTGCCAGGTGAGGGTACTTTCCCTTGAAAAGGAGGGGAAGCAACTGCCAGCTGGGGGTTCTTGAAGAATAACTGCCTGTAATTCGGTCTATTTTGCCCAGCAAATATGAATTTTCTAGTTCAATACCAAATTGGGCCTTAGCCCATCTCTTAAATAATATCTGAAAACTAAATGTCATGCTCTGAAACTTCTGTAATTCTTTTCAGAGTTGCCCATCAGTACTTTATTTGCATAGTATTTGGTGCTGAATTAAAATTCTGATAATCCTGTATCTTAAAAGAACATACATGTGAATGCTGTGTTCAGTAATCAGAGGTCTTAAGAACATTTTTATTTAGAAGTTTATTATTCTTCCCTCATATGCATTTTCCAAAATTATATGTTTATTTCTGGGATAGAGGAGACTGAGCAAAGTATTTCAGCGTCAGATAATTCAGATAAGTATTTCAGGGCTCCTGCTTCATTTGTGCAAAAATGCTTCTTAGCAAAATGAGTGGGTCTAAGTCTCTCTTTTCCACAAATCTTGATAAGACATTTGTTTTGTGTGTTTTATTCAGGGTCTCTTATGCTGTTCTATTTCAGATCAAGAAGGAATTGAATAGGATAAAGTATTTTGCTTATTAATGATCAAATATTTATAGTTTCAAGAGGTAGCTGAAAACAGCAGATTGAAATTAGGGACTTAAAGAAAATCAAATGCGTAGGAATCTGCTGGGAAATGCATGACTCAGTAATAGTATAAATGACTTGGAATCATGACAAGCTGAGTATGAGTCAGCAGTGTGACGTAAATGCAGAAAGACAAACACAAGTTAGGATGCAGCAATAAAAAGTCCCAAAGCACCAGAAATATTAGTTCTACTAATATTTATTACTCAGATCCTGTTCTGTGCCTATTTGTGGGCATCAGACTTTTAAGAACCATTCAGACAAACTGGAACAGATGCAGAGAAGGGCAGTGAGGATGATCAGAGGACTGGAAACTAGGCCTGTGGGAGAACTAGATGCATTTAGCTAAGAAGTGATGCAGTATTATTCATCAAATACCTAAGAAGGCACAGCCTATTATCTGCTGTTGCAGAATGCAGGGCACAGAATAATAAACCTAGAAAGCAGGATTCAGTTGAACTTCTGACAAATCAACAAAGGAATTACCTACCTAGCCAGGGGGTAAAGTAACCTTCACTGGTTGTGTTCAAGCAACCATCTTTTAAGGGGATTTATAGCAGTCTGGAGTCCTGTACTAGCAGGCAGTTGAACTCAGTGGCTCCGATGACCTTTTCCGACTTTCTAATTCTATGAAATAACAAGGGGCTGGGTTTAGCTTAGCTTAGTTTATGAAACCTTTTCGACATTGCAGGTTACAGTCCCTTTTCCAAATGCGTTTCACCCATTTCTGTCAGAAACTGGAGCTCGGATTCCTTCCTGCTTTCATGCAAAGCTGTTGAGTGGATGGAGGTCAAAAGAATGAGCTCTGAATCAGTGGCTTTACCTAGCTGAGTACAAAGGGAGAAGGGACGGGGTTGGCTTAGCTTCTCTAAGGGTCTGGTGGCCGCCAGGCGGCACCAGCTGCACATGAGAGAACTTGGTGACGTACTTGGGTGCATTGTGTTGGAGGCGTCGGTGACATATTTCTTTCTCTCCAAATACGGGACAATGACTGAAGCAATGGGGAAGTGTAGCTCGAAGCTTGTTCAGGGTGGGGTGGAGAGAGTAACTGAGATTAGAACTGAGATGTTGACCTGTGCATTTAGTGGGGCTTTCTGGTCTGAGGCACAGAAGGAAGTACAAAAGCCTTGGCAGTTAGTGGATTCTGCCTGGAATATGTTTGTGCCTTACAACAGATCCAAGGCAGAGAGAGGGTTTTTAAAAAATAATAATAATCATGACATCAACCAGTCAGAACCAGTTGCAAAATAGTTGCTTAGGGGTGGAGCTAGTGTCAAATGGTAGTTCAGAGGATAGAAATCAGCTCCAGAAGTGAATTATGCCTTAGAGAGACTTGCACGTGCAAATTTAATATTGCATTGGAGTCCTAAAGAACGAGAATGCTTATAGAGAGAACATTCTTGTTGCTTTTTTATAATAATTGGACAAAGGCTTGTTTTCTCTCTGTTGAAATTCATCTAGCAGTCAATAAAGAGAAGGAATGTGTGTTCTGCTTCTGTCTATTTTAGGACTAGTCCAAATGCAAAGGCTCATTAATGGTGGTGTTGAAAAAAAATTTTTTTTTCCAGCACATATACAGTACTTGTCACCTAGGAAGCAAGAGATTACAATATGTTCCAGGGTTTCCTGTTCGTATTTGTGAAAAAGATACAGGCTGAGAGATGGCAACTCTCTTAAAGCTGCTGATGGTGCAATGTTATGCATATTTATTCAGAAGTTATTCTTGCCATGATCATTGGGGCTTAACTCCTAGCTAAGTGCTCAAGTTTGCTGCCTGAAACAGCTTTATAGCCCCGTGCAGTTTGGAATGCAGACTGTCTGCAGTCAAAGATGGTGCTCCTGTCACTGCCCTCCGGTAGCACTGGTGGGCTCAGCTGCGATGCCAAAGATAGATCACTACCTGCTTTCTTCCTGAAGTCCCAAGCTTTTTTGATAGCTTCTCTCTGTGTTTAAGCTTCAGCTTATGCCAGTACCTGATTCAGCCATGCCTCCTTTCCCCCACTGTCCCCCCCTCCGCCCCCCAACGAA